GTTTACTAGTACCTGTCTCGAGGATAATATTAACAAGAAACTTATAGTTAATGGAAGGTGAAGGTACGTGTATCAATTAATAGAGGAGTAAAGAAACACCTAACAACTCATTAAGATTTGCAGATTCAAGTACAATATGTTCTCTCCTTATGTAGAATCAGACTGTATGAAATGCATGGCCATTAATAAAAAACGTATTCATGAATAGAGAAAGCCTAAAGATCGGATTACTTAAGTAGAAACAAGAAAAAGACTAAGGTATTGTTCAACAGCAGAGGTCCCACTCAAACAAATACAAATGTACAAGTGCTGGAATATAAGGTACACTAGAGAGATAGTAGACAGGTATATAATATTTATATAACATAGGACAACTCGTTAGCATGTAATCAGCACTATCTAATAGTGTTAACTACAAGAAATAAGCGGACGAATCAGTCTAGGTTTCTTGGAAAAAGTGCCTTCGGCAGGCACAGTAGCACAATAGAGTGATTCCGTTGTACCATTATGTATTAATTTGACTTTAAAAATGATATAAGTCTTTAAATCAATGCGTCCTCCGTCAGTTATAGCGCCTATGGGTCAGAAACATGGACTATACTATAACCAGGTTACTGCGAGAGCAGAACTAATAAGTCAGCGCAGAGAGGATGGAAAGATCGATTATGTGGAAATTAGCCTGAGAGATCGGATAAGAGGGCGACGTGGTAATCATAGAATGAAAAGACGATAATGGTATAAGATATACTCAAGATAGCTTATATTAAAAAGAAGAAATGGCAATGGTCAGGATGTATTTCGAGACAAGATCAATAGCTGGACAATAGAATAAGTATACAAGAACTGGACTAATAAATAACTTTAAGGAGGGCCAAATGCCGACCATGACACTTTGGCGATGAACGAATATAAGCGAAATTTGGTTCACAAGACTGGAAAACAATATCGCAAGTACAGGGAAACCTGGAAAGTAATATATGAATGTAGAGCCTATCGATCCTGCAGTGATTTGATTAGGCTTATGATGATGATGATGTAATGATATATATTTAATTTAATATATATTTATATTATATAGATATATAAAATTATTAATATATATATATTAATATATATATATTAATATATTAATTATATAATATATATATTGTATATATATGTGTGTGTTGTGTGTGATTTAGTTAGATGGTGTGTTAGTAGTGTGTGTGTGTGTGTGTGTGTTGTGTGTGGTGTGTAATATGTGTTGTGTATGTGGTGTACGTGTGTGGTGTGTGTGTGAATGTGTTGTGTGTGTGTGTGTGTGTTTGTGTGTGTGTAGTGTGTAGATAAATACTTATTAAATTACATATGGTATTAAGCTAGATATTATTAGTGTTGTGTGTGTGTGTGATATAATTATTAAAGACTGTGTCTATCTGTGTTTATATTATTATATAATATTATTATATATATATTAAATATATATATTATATATATTATATTCAATATTATATATATAATGTTATATGATTTTATATTATATATATGTATATGCATTGAATATATTATATCATATAATTATACTAATATATATATAATATTACATAATATTACATATATGTATGTGTGATTTTGACGAGATAGTTGGTGTGTAGTATTGTATTAAATAAATAATATTTAATATATACATATATATATATATAATACTATTATATATTATATAAAATATAATTATAAGTATTAATATATATTTATATATATGTACATACGTATATATATATATATATATATATATTATAATTATTATTATATTAATATTACATAATAATATTATATTATTAATTATTATTATAATATTTATATATATAATTATATTACATTAATATATACTTATTATATATTATATTATATATTAATAATATATATATAAAAATAATACTATATATTATATATATTATATATATTATTTAATTATATATATAATATATTATTATATACTAATATATAATATAATATATATATATACTATATATACGCATGTATTAATATGTATATATATTATGACTTAGTATATCAATATATATATAATATATGTTAACTATATGATAATTAATATATATATTTTTTTTTAATAATATTATATTATTTTAATATTAAATTAATTTTTTTAATTTTATTATTTATATTTTTATATAATTACATATATATATAATTTTAATTTATTAATATTTATAAATTTTTTTATTATATATTAATATTATGCATATATATTAAAATATATATTATATAATATTTATATTTATTAATGACATATATATATATTATATTAATATATATATATTTATATATATATATATAAACACAGATTAGAAATGTCTATAATATATATATATATGCAGCGCACATACACACACATCACACACGCACGCATCGACACGCTAACGCACGCACGCACCACGCACGCACCCACACACACACACACACTCACCACACAAACACACATCATAACATAATTATAGATGTGATATATATGTTATTACATACATATAACTAACACATTATATGATATATACATTTACATATATGCATAATATATAAATATATATATAATATATTTATTAGTATATATATATTATTAATCATTTACATATATATTATACATTTAATATACATATACAATATACATTAACATACATATATAATATATATTATATTATATATATATATATATTATTAATTATAATATTAATTATAATAAGTGTGTGTATATGTGGGGTGGGTGTAGAGCTATGTATGGTAGGTGTTTTATTATATATTATAGTATATATATATAATATTATATATATGTATTAGTGTGGTATATGTTATATATATATATATTATATATATATTAATATATTACTATATACATTATTATTAACTATTACATTATTATTATTAATATATTAATAATAATTTATATTATATATATATAGTATACATTTATTATTTTATTATATATATATAAATATATATAGATAATATAGATATTATGAGGAGCAAAGTATAGATAGTATTAGTATATATATTAAATAAATATATCATATATAATATATATATAATATATATTAATATATATATATATTAATTATATATTATATATGATATATGTAACTTAATAATATATATAATTTATATATATATATTATATAATACATATAAATATATATATATGTACATATATATATATACTATTATATATATATTATATAATATATATAAAATATTAATAATATAATATATATTATATATATTAATATATATTAATATAGTCGTGTGGTGTGTCGTGTGATGAATATATGTGTGTATAGTATATAAATGATATATATATATATATAATTATAATAAAAATATATAAGATGGGGATGTGTGTGTGTGTGTTGTGATGTCATGTGGTGTGTGTGTAGTGTATGTGTGTGTGTGTGTATAATATTAGAATATATATTAGTGCTGTTGTATGTGTGTCATATAATTTAAGACTGTCTATTCTGTGTTTATATAATAAATATATATATATAATATATAATATATATATATATATATTATAATATATAATACTTAATTAATAATATGTATATTATTATTATGTTTATTAAATAATTAATATATAATGTATATTGACATGTATATTTTATATTACATTAATTATTTTTATTTTTAAATATATACATAATATATACATAAATATACATTATATATATATATATATATATATATATATTATAATATATATACGATAAACATATATATATTATATATATATAATATATATATATATATATATAAATATATATATATATACATATATTGATCATATAATATTATATGTATATTATATTATATATATGTTTAATGATATATATTATTATATGATATATTATAATGGTGTTATATATTATATTTAATTATATATGTATATATGTATATATGTATATTAATATATATTATAATGTAGGAATATTTTACATGCAGAATTTTAACATATACTATATTATATATTATATATATATAGTTAGTAGTATATATGATTATATATTTATATATATATAATTATATATTAATATATATATACAACTAGTATATATATATATATAAGTATTAATAGTTTATAAGATATATAATTATATATTTATATGATATTTTAATGAATATAAACATTCAGCATTGACTATGTGATCTTTTATATATTTATATGCACACACACCACACCATA